TCTATGTGTCTGTTTGTCTCTCTCTCTCTCTGGCAGTACTAGGGATTGAACTCAGGACCTTGCGCTTGCCAGACAAGTGCTTATGCCACTAAGCTATATCCCCAGCCCCTTTGATCCATTTTAAATTAAGTTTAGTGTGTGGAGAAAGATACGGGTTCAGTTTTAATCTTTGGCATGTGGAATGGCAGTTTTTCCAATACTATTTGTTCAAAAACTTATTTTTCTAGTGAAGGTGTTTGTCTCTTTTGTTTGGTTGAATGTGTCTGGAGTTGTTTGTGCATCTTCTGATCTGTTCCATTGATCCGCAGGTCTGGATTTTTTGGCCGAAGCATGCTGTTTTTATTGCAGTAGCTTTTGAAGTGTAGTATCAAGTCAGGGACTGTGATGCGCCCCCCCCCCCCGCACCTTGCCTTTGTTGCCCAGGCTTGCCTTTGCTCTTCTAGGTCTCTTCTGGTTCCAAATGAGTTCGAGGACTATTTTCTCTAATTCTGTGAACTATAGTACTGGTATCTTGATCAGGCCTGCGTTAATCTGTGTAACACTTTAGGAAGTATAGGCATTGTCACTATATTGATTCCTACCCAAGAACAAGGGGTAGCTTTCCATTTTCTTTTTCTTTTTTTGCAGAACCAGGGATCGAACTCAGGCCCTTGCACTTGCCAGGGAAGCACTTATTCCACTGAGCCATCTCTCTGGCCCTTAGCTTTCCATTTTCTAATATCCTCTTTCATCTCCTGTTTTAAAGTAATATAGCTTTCAATGTAAAGGCCATTTACTTCCTTCGTTAGATGATTCCTAGGGATTTTGGTTTTTAGGATGCTGTTATAAAGGTGTTGCTTCTCTAAATTCTTTCTCAGTGAGTCTGTCTATTGACTTCGCACCACCATGACCAGTCTCAAATGCCATCTCAGCACGCCCTGGGGGCAGGGCCAGAAAGGCAGACCTGGGGATCGGACCCCAGCCCTGTGCCTGCCTGCAGGCGCTTTAATCCGCTGAGCTATTTGGCTGGCCCTTCGTTCTGTTTTTCTGATACGAGAATTCCATGCTATAATTTTCCCTCCTAGCACTGCTTTCATTATGTCCCACAGGCTTCAGTATGTTGTATTGGCATTATTTTTTAATTGTAGAAACTATCTAATTTCTTCTGTAATCTCATTTGTAGGCCTTCGGTTGTCCAGGAGGGTATTGTTACTTAATTTCCATGCATTTATGGCATTTTGTGCTTTCTTTTGCCACTGATTTTCAATTTCATTGCACTATGGCCTGACATAATAATCTCAGTTCCTTTGCACAAGAAAATGCATACGTAAAAGCATGTTCTATGAGCGAGCGTGTGTTTTATTTTGAAGAATGTTCCATGCTGCTGAGAAGAATGTGTGTTCTGATGTGGTGTAAAACACCCTGTAGATGGGGCTGGTGAGAT